AAACTGCGAGCGAGCCAAACAGCTCTGAGAGTTTAGAGGCCCTGGCACCGCGTTTATCTCACTGTACCTGATTGTTGGGTGATGTAACTGCCTATAAAATGTAAACTTTCCACAAACGAGTTTTCAGGGCTCCAACTCTCACAGAAAACAACAAGGAATCGAAGACAACAAAAGCGCCGGCCTGTTTGTGAGTAATTCATTAGTTAGCCGGACCTGGTGGAAAACAGGCCGTCTCCATACGTCCAGCCAAATGCATTCTGGGAGTTTATTTTTATAGCGATGAAAAAGGAGAGAAACACCAAACGTAACTTAGACGGAAAACCAATAAATAGGTGTTAGTAAGTCTGCTGTTGTTCGGGCTGATTGCTCTTTGGGCGATTTGGCTAAAAAAGATCACATTTTTTCATACTAGATACAATTTTAATTGGGTTTTTTTCTTGCTTTCTTTTGGAAAGAATAAATTATGAATGACTGAAAATGTTTTCAGTGTGTGGCAGGGTATTAGGACCAGTCTTAATTATCAGAAGGCAGTAATAATATTAGAATAAAGATGCAATTTTACCTGAAAAAATACAAGAAAAAAAGTCGTTTAAATGAAGAAAAAGTTTGCTTAACAGGATCTTCTTTTTTTTTTTTTTAAGAATTTGAACAAAGTGAAACTAAAACTACCATATATCAGCAGTTATGGGTTGAACATTTTAACAAACAAAGTGGTTTTTTATCTAAATGCAAAATGTACATATGTTTTAGCAGATTTTAGCTTAATTACTGCTCTGAGTGTGTTGTTATTTCAGCAAATGTTATTTTTTTTTGAGTCTCTAAGCTCTAAGATTAATCGATTACCAAATTAGTTATTTCAATTGTTGATTAATCATGATCAATTAAATTAATCATTTAATAAATAGGTAAATTATGTGTGTAATCAAAGTGTTTGAAGGTGTCATTCTAGCTAATAAATACTGTTTTGGTCACCTTCACGGACACATGCCTACTATATCCTTTTATTATTCTAAATATATGTTTAGGCTGCATTCTTCACTGAGTGCAGCCCACCAGTCCCTGAGACTGTCACCACATTACTGGTTCTGCTGGGACGCATCACTGGCCACCTTCTCCAGCTGCATGAAGGGGGCGGAGGGAATTAGAGCAGCCAATCCCAGAGCTGCAACAGTAAAAAGGGAGAGGGGCCCAGTGTGTGTGTGTGTGTGTGTGTGTGTGTGTGTGTGTGTGTGTGTGTGTGTGTGTGTCGGGACTCCCTGTGGTATGAGGGCAGGGCTCTTGTGTCAGATGTCTCCTGATGACTGACAGCAACAGGCCTGAGTCCTACCAGGTACCAATACACTCAGCTATCAGCAGGAAAACAAAATTTCTGGAGGTTTTTATGGTCTCACACGCAGGGTGTTCTTTATACACTGCAAAAACACAAAATCTTACATAGTAATTTTGGTCTACTTTTTAATGAAAATGTAGATTATTTCATTTATAACATTGGAAAAATGTTTTGTTAAAAGTGATGTTTTTCATAAATTAAGGAATTATTTACTTACAAGTTACTTATAAAGTTATTTTTTTCTAATCTCAAGTCTAAAAAGATATTTGTACTAAAATTAGACCAAAAATACTTGGTAAGCGTTTGAGTTTTTGCAGTGCGGATGCTCTTTATACAATGCAAAAGACATAAGTATTGTGGTCTAATTTTTAGCACACTTGAAATACGACACAACCAACTTAGAAGTAACTTTTCAGCAAGATACATGAGTTCATTTCAAGTCAATATTCCATGGTTAAGGTTCCATTATGTTATAAATGAAGTGATCTGCCAGTGTAACTTGTACTTTTTTCATCAATATTAAGGAATTATTTACTTAAAACAAGCTCCTACATCTTGCTGAAAAGTTACTTCTAAGTTAGTTTTTCCTTACTTCAAGTGTATTAAGATATCTGCACTAGAAACTAGACTAAAATAGTTGGTAAGATTTTGTGTTTTTGCAGTGTAAATTCATTCAGGTCCGTCAGAGACGTTCTCATACACTGTTAAGATTTTTATGGTGACGGTTTTACAGCTTCCCTTGCCTCTCCTTCACTATAAAGTTTGCAGTCCAGCTGTTGCTTTGGGACTGCAACACAGAACTCTGTGTATCATTTGGCTCTTCTGGAGGAACTGTCACATATTTACGGTTTATAACTTATCATGTGCTAACCACATCTCCGCCTCGTGTGCATCTGTTTCAGCATCTGCAGCCGCTTCCAGAAAACAGCAGGCTGCCCTACTAAACTGCTCCATCCGCCATGTCACCGGCTTTTCAGACATATGTTCATCTGTAAACATGGAAAATTGCCGGTGTAATCTGATTTGGAGTTGTTTACTTTTGATTCAGTTGTGCCGTGCAAGCCCGGCTGCCAGGCTGTGAATGAAGTATTGTCTGCAGACAATCTCCAATCTCTGCTGCAAGTCCACCACATGCAGGTGCTGCACCTATCAGGCACCCGTTCAGTTAATGCCGACACACTGAAGCTGGAGGGAGCATGCACCAGGATGTAAGTCATCAATTAATGAGTTAATCTAAAGCTGATTGATCTTATCGATCGACTAGCGATTAATTGATGAGCGGCCATTTTCTTAAAACCTAACTTTTCTCTAGTATCAATACGGCCGACCATTTTTTCATAACCTAAATGCTGAATTTAAAAACTGTAAATACACAAAATCTTACCAAGCATTTTGTCCAGATTCTTGTACATTAAAAATAAAAAACTAACTTATAAGTAACTTTTCACCAAGATACATGAGCTTGTTTTAAGTTAATAATTCACTAATATTAACTGGCAGATTATTTGACTTATAATTGACTTACAGTGGGATAAATGTCTTAAGTGAAGACATTTATCACTTTTTCATCAAAAGTATTGATGAAAATACTTTTTCATCAATATTAAGGAATTATTGACCTAAAACAAGATCCTATATCTTGCTGAAAAGTTACTTGTAAGTTTGTTTTCTCTTATTTCAAATGTACAAAAATTAGGCCAGAAATACTGAGTAATATTTTGTTTTTGCAGTAAAAACAAACATGTTTTTACATTTCGTGTCAGCTGTATTAAATACTGACTGAATAAACAGGAAAACTGCAGCTTTCTCACATTATTAAGCTGATTACGTATAACAAATAAGGAGCTTTTTGGGTTGTTTTATAGTAAAATAAAAGATGAAAAGAATAAAATATGTTGAACACAAATAAATTAACAGACAGATGTTCATACAGAAGAAGTCTGTTGTTGCTCTTTAAGGAATGTTAAAACTTCGCTCCATTAAAGCCATTAACTCACAACAGCCCTCAAAATCAACCGTGCGGACTGGCGCCATGTTTTTTCTCCCATCATGTTATGAATTGGCCCGTTATGCCCTCCTATCCGCATCAACTTCATAGCACATCAGTAATTTTTGAATGAGAAGCTGAAGTCGCTATAAGGTGACAACTCAAGGAGCTCACTGAATAGTTATATTTAAAAACAGAACTGAACACAGTAAATTTTCAACAAACACTGGACTCTGTTTGGGCCGTTTCTCTTTCTGCTCTGTATGTCCAGAACCAGAACCAAACGAGGAGAAGCAGCATTCAGCTTCCATGCACCACAAATTTGGAACAAACTTCCAGAAAACTGTAAAACAGCTGAAACACTGAATGCCTTTAAATCTCGACTAAAAACCTACCTGTTTAGAGTTGTATTTGAAAAGCAATCAATTACAAGTTTAGTGATGGCACTTGACTTAATGTAATGTTTTGATTGTTGATTCTATGTTGCATGACTTTGTGTTTTTGTGTTTGTTATGACCTAAAGCACTTTGAAATGTCTTGCTGCTGAAATGTGCTATACAAATAAAATTTTATTGATTGATTGATTTCTGCCTCGGCGTTCTGTTCTCTACGCTGCAGCGCAGCATACGTGCAGTGAGTAGAGCGCAAGCGCATTTAGAAGTCCGCGACATTTAGAGGTGCTGTCAGTTCAGCGTACGCGCAAAGATACGACAAAAATAAGTCAATAAATCGTTTTATATGATAACTAGATGAATCTACATATTTTGTTGTGCAGGCCCTAGCTACAGCTGCCGTGAAATACTTAACACGCCCCGTATAAAACTCGCCTCCCTGCTCCTTGATGATGGTCTGACTAGCTAGCCGCTAACTCCGGATCTCTTACAGTTGTTAATAACAACGTGTATGACAAACTAACTTTTACATCGTGATGTTTTGTGCTACAAGTATGACGAACTACCAGAACAACGGCCGCCATCTTTGTTCTGTATCAAACGGCTACGATTCAGAGTTACCAGAGGTGCCCCCTGCTGGATGGCGGCCAAATTACAACACCAATAGAAAGTAAGCCGATGTTTAATTAATAGATTGGAACTCATTTTAATAAAATAAATCATTTATGGACAATTAATAATAAGTAGATTAAATGTTTCCTTCCGTAGTGCCAGGCATTTGGTTTTCCTCTCATCAGGAGGGCATTTTCAGCTTTGACTCATGCCAGAGAGGTTAGTCGCTCACAAAGCAACAGTTTGACAGTGGCACCATGAAACAGTTGGACCGGAGAGTTCCAGTCTGCTCTGTGTTTCAGAGTAAAGCCGCCTGATGTGAAGCAGCATGTCTGCAGCCTTCGCAGGGCTGGACTCTGTTCTTTCACCCGGGAAGCTGATGGATGGTATTTGTTTAGTTACGCTGCAGTTAAGCTCAGGTCAGGGCCAAGCCAGGGCCCCCTCTCCCTCCCTCCGTCCATGTTGACTTTGGGCTCTGCTTAGAATTTTTATTTTTTTGTTTATTTATTTTTTTTAAACTCTTGAACTTTTTCCGTCCCTGGCTGCTCAGGGGGGAGAAAGCACAAGCGAAACTTTCTTCACACTGACAGGAAACCAGTCAGTGAAGCTGCTTAATGACGAGGACATTTGCAACTTGCTTTTAAAAACATTCAGAGCATTTGTGAGTTAGCCCCCTTACCTCTCACACAGTCGGTCAGCAACATGGTCTCAAAGATGAGCAGCACAATCTTCATGACGTCCATACTGTCCAAACACAGATTCATAGTCCCTAAACCAGGAAAAAACACATGTGCAGCTCTGAGATTAATAATCTTGGTGAAAGATATCATTAAAAAAGCACTATTAGCTCTTATGCAATGATTACACTACAAAAACACAAGCTCTTACCAAGTATTTCTGTCTAGACTTTACTGAAAATACCTTAGTGCATTTAAAATAAGACAAAACTAGCCTATAAGTCCATTGTCAGCATGATATGAATTTGTTTTAAATCAATCATTTCCTAATGTTGATTTAAAAAGTATAGCTCTCCTGGCAGATTATCACACTTATAACCAGACAATTTTTACATGTTATAAGTGAAATAATCTTGCAATGGAACTAGTACTATTTCATAAAGATTAGAGAATAACTGAGCTCCTATGTATTGCTGAAAAGTTATTTCTAAGTTAGTTTAGTCGTAAGTCAAGGGTAACACTATATTTGCACTAAATAAGGCCAGAAATATTTGGTAAGATTTTGCGTTTTAGCAGTATATTCCATTCATTAAAATAATCACGATTCTACCAGCGTGTATAAACATGTTCATGCCACTAAAATACACTCTTTGTTTGTGTATTTAACTGACATCATCCTTACAAAAACAGCACAAATGAACCAGAATTTCATTTTAAAATAACAAATATAAAGCATTGCATGAATATTTTAGGTGTATCCTGCAACATTATGGGGGTTTTCATGTATTTACGTTTTTGTGGCAATATAACATACCTCGTTAGTGAGTGTAGGAGGTCAGCCTTGCAGCAGTCCCCAGACAGAAACTCTTTCAGCTGAACTTCGCGCTGAGTCCATGAATAAAGCTGACAGCGGTCCGCTGTCCGCTAACAGCGCAGCATGGCTGCCTGCGGCGGGTTAATAACGGACTGTCAGGCGGTAGGTTGGAAAACGGCGACAAAACACAGTAAACACAGCCCGAAAAAGCGTGATAGCTGAGAGGAAAACCAGCGCTAGTCCGGTCCGTTGTACAGTCCACACTTCTCCTGGACAGACTGACTGTTGTGGAGTTCAGGGAGCGAAGACTTGTTGACTCTCTCACAGTTTCAGCGGCGGGCCAATCACAGCCCGCAGTCTGGCCAATCACAGTCCGTAAAACCGTCCGACCGTACGTCAACGTCGCCGCCATATTGGGAGTGGCAGCTTCGTTGCAACACACAGAGCTTTATTACTATTATTAACAAAATGTTAAAGTTTTACAACCATTAATTAACTAAGAAGGGTAGTAACTACCTACATTTACTCAATTACATTAGCTTGAGTAGATCTTTGGGGAAATAATACTTTAAAGAGTAGTTTTTACAATACAGCTCTTTTTTGCTTTTACTTGAGTAATTTTATTATGCAGTAACGTTACTTTTACTTGAGTAATATTTCTGGATACGCTACCCACTGTGAGTAGAGTCATTGAATAAACAACCAAAAATTCACCACACAATACATACTTCCAGTTTTTGTTACAGTTTCATAAGCTTTATATTGAAAGAACCTGATTCGAAAAAAAAATATATTTGTTTTTGCCTAATTTCATTGTTTTATAATTATTTATATGAATTATTTTCATTTTGGTCTTTAAAATACAAGATTTTTAAATATTAAATGACTGAAATTTTGATTGCTCAGCATGTGAGTAGTCTTTTTATGAAATGTTTCTTTTAGTCATTTTTTGGATCATTATGTTTACTTGTGTTAAATTTTTGAGAACTCTGTCCACCACTGCTGGTTAATTCACATTTAAACAAAATAGCTGAAATAAATACAGCTTAATTTCCATAACTAAAAGCTCAATAAAATCCCAAAATGAACTTGTATCATCGCATGTAAATATAATACATAAAAATTTGCATAAAAAACAGTAGTATTTTTTTATTAATAGTTTCTCATCTGTCTTGTGTTGATTTCTAAGGAGAGCTTGCCTCTAATATGGCGGACGCGGTGACATATCGTGTCTACGGAACAACAAAACCAACGAGGCATTTCTGTCCATCTCGCTGTTCATCTTTCAGTGCTCTTTATATTAAAACATTAAGCCTTAAGTACAGGTTACACAGAACAGATTTACATTACAGTAAACACAGAGTAGAAAATATTTACATCTCCGATACGCCAACCCCCGCCTCAAAATACTAGAATGCGCTGCCCCCTGCTGGCAGATTATCAGATTGACCGCAGATTAACAAACGACCGTTAATTTTCCATCTCCATGAGTTTAATTTGGAGATGTCAAGTCTTTCAAATACTTAAAAAAAAAAAAAAATACAGTGAAAATTGATGTAAAATATCTCAGATTTATTCCAAATCAGTCTTATTTTTTCTAAATGTTTTCTAAAATCCTAATATCAATTTATAATTTATACATATGTCTCACCTTCAGCTGCATCAAATGAGGAATCATGACAACACGATCAAACAGAAAAGTTATTTATTTCAATATACATCCCATTTAAAACTATATAACATTATTTATCTGTTGAATATTTTACACAGCTCTTATGGAAATGAATTAAGAGTTTTACAAAATAAGACAAAGCTCTGAAATAATAATAAAAATAACAGAATATCCCACTCTTCACTACTGCATGATTCCTTTTCTTTACATCATAGTAATAACAGTTCCATGTTATCTGCATTCTTTATAAAAGAAAAAATAGTGTTTCAGAGTTAAGTTTGTGTGTTTTTAGATGCAATGAGGGTCGCAGGGTGATTCTGAACATTTAAAGCCTGAGAAGCTGCTTCATGTCAGAGCAGAACGGACGAATTAAAAACTTCTCCTTAGTGTTAACTGGAGGCTCAAATTAGCGTCTTTTCTCAGAAAAACGTCTGATTTTTATTGTTACCAAAACAGAAATGTGTCCAAAACAACAGCAGTGTTTAAAATTTCCATACATGCAAATCCATTAGGATTACTGCCCTACTATGAATCAAAAATGAAAATTTTATAAATTTTTTACAGAAATTGAGGAATATTTAATGTAGTATACTCCAGGGGTGTTCAAAGTGTGGCTCAGGGGCCATTTCTGGCCTTGGGCTACTTTTTTGTGGGCCCCCAACTGCTGTTCAAAGAAAGATACAAATTTATTCTTTAAACTTTTTATTTTTAATAAGGTTTGAATTATTGGTGAATTAATTTGCAATGGAAAATGTTGAGTAAAACACAAAGAATTAATATTTTTATGACCAAATTTTTCTAATATGTAGAACCACTTTTACTTTTACTGAAAAGTTGACTTTGACACACCCAAATCAGCAATGATTTATTTTATTAAAGAAAAAAAGTGACCCAAATCTTGCTTTTATAAGCAAGAATAATTTCTTTAATCAAGCCCAAAAAAATCTGAAAACTGGACGCCGCTCAAAGATTTCAATCAGTGAATAATTTCATTTTCTTTGACATTTTTCTTCATAAAATGAACTTTTATTAAAACTATTTCAACCGACTACAACCTGCTGCTAACATTCAGAATAATCAGCTTTGCATGTTACTACTGTTGTGTCTGTTGGTTTATTTTACTCTGTTACATTTCACAGTAAATTTTTAGTATAATTTATACCAGAATTAGTTTTTATTTTGCTGTTATTTTGAACACAAATGTTTCTGAAAGAAAAATGTCTGCAACCAAAATATCAGAGGTCTGTTTCATCGTGTGCAGAAGCGTCGCAGTCAACAATATTGCACCAATAAAGCGATGAGGAAGTGAAGAAAGATGGGCAGCCCTGTAATCCTGCAAGGCTACACCTGAGAGTTTGAGCTCCAAAAGGTCAAAGGTTGACCTTAGTGAAGGGATGCACTGCAAAAACACAAAATCCTACCGAGGATTTTTGGTCGAGTTCCTACTGCAAATATCCCACTGCATATCAGGGCCAACGTTCTACAATAAATAAAAATGAAAAAAGGAGGAGGAGTAAATTTCAAAGACAAATTCTGAAATTTTGAGCTTAATTTCTGAAATTACTGACATTTTTTAAGCCAATTTTAACTTTTCAAACTCAGAAATTTCAGCGTTTTTCACAGAAAATGTTTGACATTTCAAACTGAAACTTCTGAGGTTTTTTTCGTAAAAAAATTACTGAGATTAATCTCAGAAATTGATTTTATTTTCTAGATAATTTCCAACTTTTCAACTAAGAAATGTGTAATTTTTTTTTATAAGATTACTGAAATTAATCTCAGAATTTCTGCTTTTTCTCGGAAATGTACTCCTCAGTTTTTCTGTCAGTCCTCAGCGGCCCTAATCGCAAATATCTTAGTACATGTAAAAAAAAGACATCAAGTAATTTAGAAGCAGCTTTTCTGCAAGATGTAAGAGTTTGTTTTAAGTCAATAATTCCTTACTAGTGATGAAAAAGTTCTAGTCTTGCAGCTGCAAGAGTCCTGACTAAAACAAAAAGAGATCAACATATCAGTCCAGTTCTGAGATCGTTGCATTGGCTCCCAGTTGCTAAAAGAATAGAATTTAAAATCTCTTTATTGGTGTATAAAACTCTACACAACAAAACCCCAGATTATATTACGGATCTACTCCAGCCCTACATACCTCACAGACCTTTAAGATCAACTGAGTCAAACCTATTAGTCGTTCCGAGAGTTAGAACAAAATACGGGGAAGCAGCTTTTAGTTTTTATGCTCCAGCCCTCTGGAATAAGCTTCCGGCTCACTGCAAATCTGCCCCAACTTTGAGTTTATTTAAAACAAGGTTAAAAACATTTCTATTTGAAGTTGCCTATTCTTGAATTATTTTTTTTTTTTTTGTGTGTTTCTTGTCTGATTGGTATTGTTTCTCTGTAAAAGCACTTTGAATTGTCTTTGACTGAAAGGTGCTATATAAATAAAATTGCCTTGCCTTGCCTTGCCTAGTACTACTGGCAGATTATTTAATTCATAACAAGACATTTTCCCATGTTTTAAGTGAAACAATCTCCTACTGGATCTATTATTTTTCATCAATATTAAGGAATTACTGACTTAAAACAAGCTCTTATAGAAATACTCGGTCCATACTAGTCCAAAATACTCGGTAAGACTTTATGTTTTTTCTCAGTGCAGCAAACTCGAAGCTAAGTTTCGATCCAGACCTCGTCTCCCAAACACAGACATTCATCACGTTAGAAAAGACCAAACTCCTCACAAAGCTCATATCAAAAGATTCCTGTGTTTCAGTTTCAGCCTGCTGAGTTTGTTTGGTGGCTCCATTGCTTGCAGACAGAATCATTATTTACATGTTGGTTTGACTTACATTCGTCTGATCCGACCCGTAAGGCTGGGCGACAAATCGATTTGATCGATTAATCCGATTTTTGGCTTCTGAAGATTTATTTTTTGGGAAATCTGGATTTTTTTTTTACCAATGCGTTCCTGGGGTTTCTATAGTTCAGAGATGAGCCAGGGCGGCCATCTTGTTTGATAAGCGCATTTTAAAGCTTCTTTTTATTTGGATTTTGAATTCAGTTCAACTCTACGATGAAATATTAGGGCCAGGCTACAGTTTCATTTAAAATTAAGGTCATAAAATTACCAGAATAAAGTCGTACAACAATAAAGTTGAAGTATTACTAGAATAAAGATGTAATTTTAGAAGGATCAAGTTGTAATTTAATGAAAACTCTGGCATGAAAAGAAACAATTAAGTGAAGTTATACTTTAGTATCGGTTTTAGATATGAAAATAATGAATTTTTTTAACATGTCAGCATTAAATTATTGTCAGTAGCAGGACTTTGAAATTAATGTTTCTATTTCGAACAACAAACTGATCCTGATAAATAGAAGTGTTTTTTTCTCATTAAAATGTATTTTCCTGTAATTTCAAGATGCTCTTTTGGTAAAATTGTCATTATTCTGCTAACATTATATAATTCTCATAATTTAAAAACATTTTGTAGCCTGGCTCTGACATTCTGTCGTACAGCTTGCAGAAGAGATGATTGAAATAAAAACATTTATTTATCATTTAGGGGAAAAAAAATTGAGATCTGAGATTAAATTTTCAAGCTGTCTCGCCCAGCTCCACTGATCTGAGTTCTGTTGGAGCGCCGGTA